CCCGCCCCCCCCAGCCCCCCTACCCCTGCCCACTCTCCCAGCCCCATCAATGGCTGCTCCGCCTAGCCCTAGCATCCTGGCTCTTTGAAGAAAACAAAAGCCCTGAACTCACCAACTCCTGGCAGGCAGGGGAGGTGATCCCCACTGCCCCCCACTGCATGGGGGGCTCTGCCACAAGCACCTCACCCATTCTTTCAGCCCCATCAATGGTTCTCCCACCCAGCCCCAGCATCGTGGCTCTTTAAAAAAAAAAAGCCTTGCACTAACCAGCTGCTGTAGTGACCATTGGGGCTTCTGGGAGCTTGTGGCAGAGCCCCCCCCACAGCACAGGGCAGTGGGGATCGCCCCTTCCCTGCCTGGCAGCAGCCAGTGACTGCAGGGCTTTTTTTTTTTTTTTTTTAGAGCCAGGATGCTAAGGCTGGGCAGGGCAGCCATTGATGGGGCTGGGAGAGCAGTCAGGGGATGGGGCCTGTTTGATTTGGAGATTTGGTTGATTCGATGGTGGCCGAACCTCCAAATCAGATTCAGGACAGTGATTCAAATCACCAAATTGAATCACTGTCCAACAAATAGGCTGAATCTGAAGCGAAAACTAGCTGCTTCCCACAGGCTTAGCAATTGAAAAGACAGACTCTGAAAAGTTCTTTTCCATAGTACAAGAGGGATTACACTCTCCCTTGATGAACAGTTAACCTCCCAACAGCATGAAATGTTCAGCATGCTTATGTGAATGAATAAATAAAGCAAACTAAGGAAGGTTTATTCATTTATTTTTAAAATTGTTCTAATGTCCACCACATAGTGGTGCTGGTCCCTGTTTTTGGAAGAATATTTGTGTGCATGTGTGCTTGTACACACACACACACACACACACACACACACGAGAACCCAGACTCCCAGAGCAGTTGTGCATTTGGTATTGCACCTGGACAGCTGGCATAAAATTTTCTTCATAAGTAATAATAAAAAAAAATTCAAATTAATCTTTTTACTATAATACCAAATATAAGAATAAATGAACAACTAGAAATTAAAACCTTACAAAGGAAAATGTTAAAAATCTAGCTATGTACACATACAAATTATATTGTTCATTGGTAGTGAATAAGATGCTAATGAGCTTCTGATACTCATTGTATTCTTAGTCCAGTTTACAGCAGATTAGATCCATCATCTCTGGAACCTCTGGACAGATCGAATGTGCTTGTGTCACATCTTTCTTCCAGCTAGCGGTCATAGGAGGATGCACACCTCTCTCTCTCTCTCTACCAGCAGGAGCTAGAGCTCTCTCAGTCCTGATTAATCAGTGTTTAAAATAGGACATTTACTGTCTCCTTGGGTGCATCTACATGAGACACTACGTCGCTGTAGCCATGAGCTACTGCGCCATAGCTCATTGTTACAGTGATGAAGCATGACTGGGCGCAAACCATGTGGCTGGTGCTACTGTGCAGTAGCTCTTTGCTATTGCACAGTATTAGCTAAAAATAACCATGCAGCACCAGGACTGTGCAGTAACACTAGTAACAACTATGCAGTCAGCCGCTCACGTAGATGCAGCCCTTGATCCTGCCCGTGTTCACAGACGGTGTGTCTACACATGCTCTTTAGTCCATATTAGTCTATTTTACTCCACACTAAAGCATGCTAATATGCTAATGCACAGTAAAATTAGGCTACTGCACATTAGGGCAGCCTAATGTGCATTTAGTTAGTACCCCACATTAGAGGTACCAAATTTAATGTGCAGTATCAAAAACACATTAATGAACGTGTAGATATACACCTAGAGACTTCTCTCAGGACAGTCTTCTCTGACCTTAACTCCGTATACCCCCAACTTGGTCACTAGGAAATTTTTCTTTTCTCTCCCCTTAACTTCTGTGGTACACTCAGCATGGCAGCCAGCCACTACCATATCCCCACTGAGGATGCTCAGGAGGGTCTCACTAATAATATTCCTAAGATGGATACACTCTGAAAAGTTCCCTTCTACAGTACAAGGAGGTTTACACAATTATCTCCTGTGCCTTACCTAAGACTCTTATCAAGTGTTGATCCCCGACTTCGGGCACATTTGCAACCCTTGCATGCAGATGCAGCCATCCATGCTGGGAAGTCAGAGAATCCCCTGCAGGAGATTTCCCCACACCATCCTGAAAGTGTGGAGCGGGGATCTTGCACAGGGGTTTCCCCCTCCATGTTTGCAGGCATACACAGATAATTCCTCTGTAGGGCCCTGAGGGCAGCTGAGAGCATAGGCTGAAAACATGAAGGCAGGACTCCACCCTATGGGAGCTCCCCTTTTCTACCCCTCACTTGCAGGCACACACAGGGAAATCCCCTGCAGAGGGATTTCCCCCCACAATGCATAGGGTACATGTCTGGGAGCAGGGATTCCCCCGCTTGCCGCACCCTGAAGCCCTGACTTTCCCTGCTCATCCAGATGTGTCCCTCCAGGGACATTTGCATATAAGTGGGGAAAGCAAGGCAGGTATTCCCAAGGCTTGAGGCAGTCCAGTTCATTACTACCTTTTGTCACAGCCATGAATTTGAGCATTTGTGGCACAACAGAAGGTATGACCATCTGTTTCTTTTCACTTTGTGTCACCATAATTTGTTTTCCCCCCAGAGCTTATCTCTAAGTAGTCACTTCCAGTTTTGCTTGTACCACCAGAGCTGGAGCAACAGTCACTGCTTCCTCCTGAAGTGCCACTGTCACTAGTTCTCCCTGTTGCTCAGATGGTGCATAAATGAAGCCCCCAGATGCAGAAGGGCTACCAAAATTCCCTACCATCAAAATGCTTCAAAAGTTCCCCAGCCCATGGGTCATACCTTGCTGACCCCTGCAGTAAATAGTTATGGAATAAATCTGTCGAGGACACAAACCAAAAATAAGAACATCTTTCCTTCCAGGATAGTGCCCTTAGAACAGATCAAAGCTCCCTCTTACTTGCTTATTTTATGACTCCATACATCTTCTCTCTTGGCTGCCCAGTAGGGCTAGTTTGCTCAAAAAGGTAAGTTTAATCACAAAGGTGGAAAATTTCTAAATTCTGCATTAAGAAGCACTTAGATGCTGTAAAGTGAAACTGAAATGAAAAGTAAATTGAAGTTAAAATAATAAGCTGCAAACAGACAGCTAATAAGGATTATTTGGAGAAAGAAGGGGGCAGGCTGAGGGCGGAGATAACAAAAAGCAAGAGAGCTTTTCACTGGCAACTGGCAGAAGAAATCTCTAAGCCCTTGGCAATAATATTTATGAAGTTGTGGGAGACAGGCAAGGTAACAGAGGAATGAAAAAGGAACAACATAGTACCTCTTTTTAGAAGAGGCAAAAAGGAGCACCCAGGAAGCTATATATCAGTTAGCCTCACCTCAATACCTAGGAAGTTACTGTAGCATATCCTAAGGAAGTCCACTTGCAAGTATCTGGAAGAAGAAAGGCTAATCACAAGCAGAAAGCATAAATTTACTAGGAATAAGTTATCAAGAATAAGTTTGATCAAGT